TCTACTCCTGCCTAGTCAGTGATGCTGGGTGCAAACATGTACATAAGGATCATAAACCCCTGTGTCTAAGACTCTGACCCCAAAACTGACTTGTTCAGTATAAAAGAGTCACTTCCATCTACTTTCTACTCAATCATAATAGAGAAAAGTAATATCAATAATACTGGAACAAGCAGGAAGGTTTAGAGAAAGTTAAGTTTCTGCCCGGGACATCCCAAGATAAGCAATTAGACCCTGTAAATGTTATCATTAAGACAGCTCATACCAGGGCCTGGTGGTAAAGAAGGTAGGTAACCCTGAAAATGCTTTCATTCCAGGATTCTTCTCAGCCTTTCACGTTCTAGACACCAGACCTGGCCCTCAGTCGTGGAACTACGAAGATGAGTAACACTGCTCTGAGAGAAGTCCTTAGCCAAGCAAGTGAACAAATACATAAACAAATACACATGATTCATTTGCTATGAATCATAACGGAGGAAGAACACTGGCATGGATCTAGCAGGACCAGAAAGTAACAGGTTTTTCATTTGTCCAAACACGCAAGAATCTGTGCGTACAAATGAGCAATTTTCATTAAAAACCTTCTCCCTGGGATGCCATCCTGTTTTCAATACTACAGCCCCTTCCTAACTTCTCTGCTGGAATGACATCAAATAAAGTCCCATACAAGAAAATGCCTCACTACCAACAGATAAAGATGGTACCACCCTGCCTTCCTTTTCAAGAAATTTGGTAGTAAAGACTTTTTTGCTCTTTCAGGGGAAAAAAAAAATCACACTCCTTTTTCAATTAATAAAGGTCCGCTGTCTTTGAGGATACTGAAAAAAATAGGTAAGGCTTTGAATGCAATTAAAGTCTAAAAGCTATGTCCACATTGTTGGAATATGAAGCCTACCAAGGTGACTTCTCTGAGTGGGCAATTCTCACATGAGTATCATACAAGTTTTACTGGCTGTCTGCCTAATTGCTTCATTCTATGGATAAAACTTTGATGTTTGTAATTCTATTTCCTCAACTAGATGCTTATAATTCATTTTCCTCAACTAGAAATCCAAGCCCTTGTGGTCAGACTGCCATCCAATTCTGGATGTGGTAAATGCCTTAAAAACAGGGAGGCTCACGGGCACCAGAGGGAGTCTGGAGTGTTCTACAACATGGCCCCCCATCAAAGTCTCATTATTAATAAGGGGCATGGTGTGGATGTGTGGTCAGGGGTGTCCAACCTTTTGTAATCTCCGGGTCACACTGGAAGAAGAGTTGTCTTGAGCCACACATTAAATATATTGCAACACATAATCACAAAAAAATCTCAATGTTTTAAGTAAATTTATGATTTTGTGTTGGGCCACATTCATAGCCATCCTGGGCTGCATGCAGCTCGCAGGCCACAGGTTGGACACCCCTATAAAATGCTTTAAAGAATTTATTTACTTATATTTAGAGAGAGGGGAAAGCAGGGAGAAAGAGAGGGAGAGAAACATCAATGTGGAGTTGCCTCTCACGAGACCCCTACTGGGGACCTGGCCTGCAACTGGGAATCAAACGAGTGACCCTTGGCACTCAATCCACTGAGCCACACCAGCCAGGACTGTAAAATACTATAAAAGGAAGCATAGGTCAACATGAAAAAAGGTCCATATTTCCTTTGCTGCTTTAATGTCCAAATCCTTTAAATCTGTCCTTAATAGTAAGACATACTCTCCTTTATGTGACTAAGGCCTCGGGATACTGGCTGTGCTCTCGCTGTGGTGCCCAGCGACCTTCCCCCCTTCCCAGCACTGTCTATTCCAGAGTCAAACACTTGGGAGCTGCTCCAAGGTAAGCTACCTGGGCACAGACTTTGTTTGTCTAACCAAACAAGGTGTCATTAACACCTGTAGCCCTACCTGCTTACCTCTGATTAATCTTATCCAGGTACAGGGCTTAAGTAAGACTACCACCCAAACAAACCCATAGGGTTTGGGGTCAACATCTAACATGGAACCAGGAACGCAGAGGATGGTGGGGGTGGGATGGAACAAAGGAAGGTTTCTGGTCCATTCAAACATTCTGCTGGTTTATGGTGCCACTACAGATTTTCAAGGCTCCATGGACTCAAATATTCATAAACGACACTCCCTTCAGCAAATTCCTCCTGAGTTCTCCAGACATTTAACTCCAGATCAGTGGCTCAGCCTGTGTGTATGTGCATGTGAGTGCATGTGTGCGGTGGTGGTGGTGGAGGTAAATGACCATGGACAGTAAACTGGAGTCATTGGAGCAGAGATGGTTCAAATCAGCTGCTGCTCCTTTTCCTCCAGGGACAAACACTGCAGTGCCACATCCAGCAAGAGTGGCCTCTCGACACTCACTTCAACAGCTCCTGACACCTCCTGTAAACAACTGTGGGCACCCATGCAGACTCTCTTTCCAGATCCTGGGCTAAAGACTGATGCCAAACCCAGTCTCAAGGGAAGTTTGCCTGGATAGAAGTACACTTTTTGCCAGACCCCAAGGTCTAAAAAGGTGAGGGAAGTCACGTTCCACCAACTCCTAAGCACAGTAGTCTCCCCGTTATCCACAGAGGACAGATACCAAGACCCCTAGTGGATGACTGAAACCACGACAGTACTGAACCCTGAGGGACTAACAGGCGGACAGCACATTCAGCGTGCACGCGCTGGACACAGGGATGATTCACTATCCAGGTGGGACAGAGAAGGACGCCATACGATTTCATCACCATCAGAATACGGTACACTTTAAAATTTATGAATTGTTTATTTCTGGGATTTTCCACGTAATCTTTTTGGGCTGGAGAAAACCGAAACGGAGGAAAGTGAGACTATGGATAAGCAGGGGACCGCCATGTTCAGAGTGTGGGATTTAAACCAGTCACTGGGAGCTGGTTAGAAAATGCAGAATCTCAGGCCCTACCCCAGAGCCTACAGAATCAGAATCTGCACTTAAAGGAGGTCCCCAGGTAATTCATAGGCACCTTGAGGACTGAGCAACAGCACTTTAGACAGGAGAAAAAGGGCACCAGAGTGACCTTTCCTCATTAGTTCAAGCTTTTCTGCCCTGACAAAGGGGCAGGATCAAGTGTGTTTAGGAGGAAGATTTCACACATTGGCTAACTGAGGCAGAGGCAAACCAGGGCTCTCTGGTTATAGGCTGGGAGCGGTGCGTGCCCCCTGGACACCCCAGACAAGAAAGCCCTGGCTTCGGGGTCCTGGCTCTACTAGCTTTCCCCCAGTTGGCCTCAGAAACCAAATTACACTCAGAGGCAGAAGCCCCTTCTCCCCTCTCCCAACCAAAGACCCTTAAAGAGAGGAGGATTTGCTGTGGCCTGCCAAAAAACATCCATTTCCTAGTTGAAAGTGAGAAATGGAGAGTTCCCTGTATAGACAGTACCGCTGGGTATTGCTTCCAATCTGATCTGTCCCCATCTAGCAACAAAAGGCACACAAAAGGGCCTCCAGAACCTTTGGGCTTGCCTCAGTGCCCACCCTGAACAGGCAATCAGATGCACACCCTTGCATGAGGGAACCCCCCTCCCCCGCCCCCGACTATTGGGAAAGATCCTGAAAGACACATTATGTATGGCACAGAAAAGGAGAGCAGCATCGACTACATAAAGGTCAGCCCGGAAAGAGAATTTGAGTCCAAGGCGGCAGGAAGAGTCCCTGGGAACCTTTCCTTGGGTCATTTTTTAATAGGAGAGGGAGCAGTTTCCCCCTCTATGCTTGGCTGCTACTTCGTGCCCAACTTGGGAAAACCGTGTGACATTGGACAACGGACACGTATTTTTCAGCTCTGGGGCCTCCGTGCCATGTTCTGTGGCATAAAGCAGCACGGCTGGACAAGGATCTCCTAACAAGTCTAAGGTTGTATGTTTTGGATCAAACAGCCCAAGACCTCGGATCTGGCTGTGCTCGCTGGTGGCGGGACAGCTGCCTGAGAAAATAAGCACGTGGCCCGGACGCTGGCAAGAGATGCGGCTGCACTCCGCCCGCCCCGCCCGCGTCTGCCCGCACCCCTGTCTCTCAGCGCAGCGCCAGGATCTGGGGCCGTTTTCGAGTAGTTTAGGGAGGAGCAGGGGAGGAGGGGATAGAGGAGGGAAGAAGGGCAAAAGGGGGTGAGGGCAGTGCGAGGATGGGAGGGACGCGGTGAGCCACGAGGAGGATATCATTATGCAAACAGGCGGGCAGGTTTCATCAGCGCCCGTGCGCGGGGCTCCGAGGCTGGAAGGTAATGCCTGGCTCCCGAGAGCAGCCCAAGGCTGGCCCCAGCCCGTGCCAGCTCAGCTTCCTCTTCCTCATCCACTCTTCGGGAGGTCACACGGGTCCCCCCTCCCTCCCGGACAGAGGAACGTGTTTTTCTGCACAGCCTTGTCCGAAGCCCCAGGTCTCTCGGCGGAGTTCCCACACCGTAAACGGGCAATCTGCCACAGGTGCCCGCGGCGTGCTGCTGGAGCAGGCGAGCACCCTCAGGTTAGCCCAAAGCCTCCGTCGGAGGGTGCTATCCCGATGCAGAACTGGAGGTATCTCCGGAAGGAAGGACTCCGCAAGAGTCATTTATCCCAACAGAGGACACCCGTCCCATCCCCCCTCCAAAACCCCAGGCCACTCCTCTCCTTGATCGGTGGGCACCCTGACACCACCGTATTTCGCCTCGTGAGTGCCCCCCACACTCACGAGGGGCAGCACGTCTATATGTTTGCGTCGGGGGAAGGCGGGCATTCAGCTGTCTCTCCCAGAAGAAGGAAACTAGTGGGGCAGTTTGCAACCCCAGCTCTGGAGGACGCACCCAGAGCAGGCAACGGGACGCGGCCGCTCGCTTGTTCCCTGTGGCCACCTCCGTGACCCTCGCTGCTTCCCTGATTCCCCTTACAGGTTCTTCTCAGTCACCGCGCCCCTGGGTCTGGTCGCCCCGTCCAGTGGACAGTTCCCAATCCCGCCTGGTCTGCCCAGTCCGCCCTCCCCACCGTCCGCACCCGGACCGCGTGAGCCCGCACCTACCTCCCGGGGTGGTGCTGAAGAGCGTGCCGCCGGGGGTGGTGCTGTAGTCTCCGGGGGGCAGCTGCACTCCGTCGCTGAGGACAACCCGGTGATTGGCGGGGATGGCCCGGCTTGGGGTCTGGCTGCAGCTGCTGCCCCCGGACATGGTCTCCTTTGCACAGTGCCAGCAGCCAGAGCGTGGCCCTCCTGCTGCCCCTGCCTCGCCCCGCCTTGCTCGAGCCGGCCCCGCCCAAGGCAGTCCCTTCCGCCTCTTTCTCTCGCGCCCCCTGGGATTTGTAGTTTCGGCCGTGCAGCCCCACCCGGAGCCCAGCGGCTCCCTGCACGTGGGTTCCCCCTCATCCAGTGATGGGAGGACCCCTACCGACAGTGGGCTGCGCGCGGGTGCTCCCGCCAACCCCTTTTTCCTGCCACTTTTGCTCCTGGGTTCCCTACTGCCTTGCTGGACACGGATGGGGTGGGCGTTGGGGGTCGGGAGGCTTGCCTAGGTTAGTGCATCGCTGGGTCGGGGGCGCGTTTCCCAGCTCTGCGGGGATCCTAGCTGACCCGGGCCACTCTGGGAAGGCCGGCGTGAGGACATCAGGCCGCATGTTACTCTCAGCCCTTCCTGTTCTGTGCTTTAGTTCTTCAGATGAGAAAGTGGGGGTTCACTGGGCACTCGTCCCTCCTTGGTTTATTGAGCATTCACGATGTGGCACGCTTTGAAGAAACGGCCGAAAATGCTCCCTCCATGGCTTTTGGGGAGGGCGTGGGGGAAGGACACGTGAACAAACCACGCAGCTGGGTGATACGGCTAAACCTAGAGAGAAGTGGAGCAGGATAGGGCAATCGGTGGAGGATGGGGTAGGAGGAGGGGTAAGAGTTGATCAAAGAAGCTTCTTTGTAGCGCTTTGAGTTGGGTCCAAGGCCCCGCAGGCTGCCTGACATTTCATAGGCAGTCAGTCCTTGAGTGGATGAAGGAATGACTCTTCAAGGAGGTCCCCAGTGGAAAGTCCTTTTCCCTTTTGACCTCAGGTTCATCATCTGTCGGATGAGAAGGGTAGATCTGAAGATCTCTGAGAACCCTCAGCAGTGACATTTTATTTTATTTTTCTTTCATACTTGAAATGTTATTAGTTGTTTTGAAGCAGTGACATTTTATGTCTTTGACCAACTCATCCTGAATTCTGTTGCCTGCCCAGCCGTTTTGCCTGTGGTTGTTTCTACCTGTTTATAGAGAGGGATTCATTTATATCAGTCATGTAATCATGTACCAGTTCCTAACAGTTAGGGACAGAGGAGAGTTGTCTTTAGAAAGATAACTGGCGGCACCAGTGGCCTGTGTTTATTCAACCTCACTCACGACAGCACTTACCTTAGAGAGACCACTGACAACACTCTTGGGTGCTTAGCTGCCCAAAGCTAAAATTGTTTATTTCTGTCTTCCCTTGGAGGCTCTTTTAAACGTAGTTATTAGCCTATGACTGTTTTAGCATGCCTAGCTGGAGGTCAAAAGAACAAAAGCAGAAAGAGCAAAGGGCTGTTTTCTAAAAGAAAGATAAGGAGAGGGACACCGAGTGAACAGTTCCCATCCAATCTTGCTCTATGGGAGCAAAGCAGGGAGGGACAAGGGGCTGATTTTTATCATTTTAAGTGGAGTTTATCTGGGTAGCCAACCAGGCACACAGGCTCAGTCCTTCTGGTATCAAACGCTTTGTGAGGTTAAAAAAAGATATCAATGGAATGAACAGCCCTAAGCAGGCACTGGCCCTCCCTGGAGTTCCTCGCAACCCAGCTGAGCTGGAACGGTCAATGTGGGGACAGAGGGCCACGAGGGGGTCCGCAGGAGTGACTGCCCGGGAAGGAGGTAGCAAGAAGCAAAAGAGGTAGAAGCACTTCCAGCCTCACTGAGTTACAGTACAGCAGAGACTGGCTTCTGCAGCCCCTCAGGCTAGGGCGGGGTTGGGGAAGGTAGGGGGAGAGAAGTAACCTCCAGGGTTTGTCTGTCTTCCTCCCTCTCTCGTGTTATTCGCTGCGGACAGTGTTTCCCCTTCGACAGCGGGAGTCTTTCCCATTAGCCAGCAGAGCTGTCGCCAGGCTCCAGGGGCCCCGGCTCCTAGTACTTTCTCACAGGATAAGGGCTCTTCTATACATCCTGCCCCAAATACAGACTCAGCCTTTCTCTGCAGCTCTGGTTTCCATTCCAGATGGATTCACAGCATCGCTTCCCCCACAGGCGCGCAGGCCTGGTCTTTCTGGTAGGAAATGCCTTGCGAGGTTCATGGATATGATTGGAATGAAGGCTGCCCTGAGTGGGCCTGGAGGGGCTGTTGGTTTTGGTGAGTGGTTTTGTGGCCCTTGTCCCTCTTGATCCTGGTTAACGCGTTTGTCTCCTTGTGCTCTCTCTGTGGTATTTGGTCTTTTTAGATCGCCCTGCTTGCCGACCCGAGGCGTTGGTTGAAGAACACCTCCACTCTGCACCTCCAGGCCTCTCAGCACTCAGCCCCTGGGTGCTCCTCAGCAGGGACGCTGTGCTTCTCAGTTCTGCTTTGCCTCCCTTGAACTCAACGGCAAGGCTATTTCTCACAGTAAGAGCTATTCATCATTCCTTTTCAATCGTAATCTGCTACCCTCTAGTCGATGGAGAATCTGCTTGTTTTCCTTAAATGTCCTTTTTAAGTGATTGGAACTTGGTCTGAGGCAGAAAGACTAGGAAGCCCTTATGGTACAAAAAAAGCGTAGGAGCCTCTAAAGCTCATGCGGCCATGATGACAGGACATATGTGCCAACCTGAAGAATTCCCAACGGTAGCTTCAATGTTTTAATATGGCTCCGGGGCTCAAGGGTTTATAGGAAATTTGAGCGGCTCAGAGTAGGGTCTGCAATCTTTACCTTGACCTCAAGAGCAGGTTCTTAGGCTTAATTCCTTGTGAATCACCTTCTTCCCATTACAGGAATAACAATGAGGCTGGAGAGTGGAGGGCGCGCCCATGATGTATTCACCTGGGGCTGCCCTTCTGTGGATGGCCCTGGGTGTGTCTACCCGAGATGTCTTAGAAGGTATTGTGAGCTGGCTGGGGGACTGAAATGGTAAAGATATCCTTTGGTGGCAACAAAGGACAGTAGCATTGTAGTCACCAGGGACCAGCAGGAGGTCAGCTTTTTGGACCTAACCAGCCTTCATGGATGGTCATCAGTGTCACTCAAACTGGGTAATTTTCATAAAGGGACAATTTATAAATGTATGAGCTAGAAGTAGGGAAACCTTGGCCCTTGGGGAAGGAACAAGGGAAAGCATAGTTACTGGAATGGGAGAGGGGAGAGGGAAGGGGGAAAGAGAGCACGTGAGCGTGAGAACTGTGTGCAGAGGCACCATATGGAGCTGCTGCCTTCAGTCCTGGCTGGCACAGGATGGCAGCAGGAAGTAGAAACTCATGCCTTGTTGGCCTCCTGTCCTTTGGTCTCCTGCCCGATTCCCTGGTGGTCTAATCCAGCGGGAGGACAGAGGACAAGGCAGCCCATTGATGCTGCCCTGTAAGCCAACTTCCTGGGGCACAGAGCAGGGCGGAAAAGGGTGGAGAGTGAATCTAAAGGGGCAACAGAAGATTCCAGCACAGTGGAGTAGAGGAGAAATCAGGAGAGGGTGCATGAAAGCGCCGAGAACAGATCCTAGTGGTGAGCAGATTCACGCATGCACAGGTAGTGTGCTGAGGCACTCTTCTTGCTTTGGGATTAAGGTGGAACTCCTGTCCACAATCCCTTAATGCATAATGTGACTCATTAAGCTCCTCAGTCCCCAAATGTTCTTCCTCATCCCCAAACCTTGAATACATCCATCACTCACAGGTTGATCCCATTTTAACTTTTTTTTTTTTTTTTTGAACTAAAAGGTTCTGCTAACTTTTCACTGTCTTTGGCATTCATGACCCTACAAGTAAGGACAAAAGGAAATGAACATTTTCTGAGTCCCTATTCTGTACCTGCACCATGTGCAAGATGTTTGACAGACAAAATCACTTACATTGCACCGCAGTCTTCTAAGACAAGTATTACGACTATCTACATTTCACACATGAAGAAAAGGAGATGTGGGGGTAGGGGGTTAGCCTGCCCATATCCAGAGTTCCCAGTGATTCCCAGAGTTCCGAGTGCTGCAAGGAGGCCAACGAGCTGGTGAACAGGGTGGGATCTTGACCTGAGAACAGGTTTTAATGTGAGAAGAGGGGGAAAGTCATCCCAAAGAAGAAAAAAGGATACAGTGAAGGCAAGGATGAGGTCTTAGTCTGCTTGGGCTGCTATAACAAAATCCCACAGACTGGGCGGCTTATGCAACAGGTATTAATTTCTCAGTTCTGGAGGTGGGGCTGTCCAAGATTAAGGTGCTGGCAGATCTGTTTCCTAGTGAGGACCCACTGCCTGGGTTGCAGAGGGTCACCTTCTTGCTGTGTCCTCACATGGTGGAGAGAGAGGGCTCTGATGGTCTTTTTTTTTTAAGAACACCAGTCCTATCATGGGGCCCCATCCCCATGACCTCATCTACACCTAATTGCCTCCCACAGGTCCCACTTCTAAATACCATCCTATTCGGGTTATCATCACATGTGAATTTGGAGGCACACACAAACAATCCAAGCAGATAAGAACCTTGAAGATTTGCTTAGAGGTGGGTCTACCCTGCTTTTCTCGGTCGTGACATTGCCTTCCCCACACCCCAGAAAGGACTCCAATGTAACTGCCTCCTCTTTCTCTTCGCCTGACTCCAACTGAACCCCAACATTCAGTCTTCTAACCTCAGTGGACCTCACAGAGAATATGAATGCTCTCAATAGTGACACATTTGAAGTCAAAGCTGGTGGTATAGTGTTAATTCCATGGGTTTTGTACAAAATGTCCTGGGTCCAAAATTTACTTATGATCTAGGTGGCCCTCGCCAAACACACTGACAGTCAATTTTGTTATATGTAAAATGGAGTAACACTATTTGCCTATGGAAACCTTACAGCACAATGTTAGGGACCATGATGGACTTAACAGTGAATATAAAGAGCTATCTGGAAGCCTGCCCCCTGATTCCCAGGCCTGGGTTTCTGCCTATGATACTGTATTTCCTTTATCTGAGGCACAAAATGTGACATCTATTAAGCGTTCCAGTGTCCAGGGGACCTTGCACTGCACATAGAGAGCCTGCCATCATAACATCTGCGTCAGAGGGCTGGCTTGTACACATGAGAAAA